GTTTTTCTTTTTTCTCCAAGAATGACATAAGTCATACAAATATAGGAGATGTCCAAGAGAAGCCCACTCTGAAGCAACCCAGGCTTTACATGAAGAAATGAAAAAAATGCCTTTTTTTTTTTGTTTGTTTTTGTTTTTTCCCTCCACAAAGCTGGAATTTTGAGTTATTCTAAATCTCACTGGAGGCTGCTGTCTTTCTCTGTGCTGTATCTGATAGCTGTGTTCTGCATGGGGGCAGATGCTGAATGCATGTCGTGTACCTGCTTCTCATGCAGGGGGGCTGAGGGATGCTGAGAGGCTTTGCGACTTCCCAAAGACTCGAGCTCAATGCAGAGGAAATGAAAATCCTGCGAATCACCTGACTAGTAAAATATCAGTGTTGTGATTAATGGGATGTAGAGTTTAGCTAAGTGGAGCTGGAGTCTAGTATTAAGCATGTTGACCAAACAGAGCAAAATGATTAAATTCCATCAGTACTATGCATGCCCTTAAAGTTAAATGAGAGTAGAAGCATTTCTCTGGATTAGGCCGCAACATTAACCTGTTGCAAGACTGAGGTAAGAAGAAGGGGAGGGTGAGTGGAAATAAAAGGGGGAGGCCCCTGCCCGGCCCTCTGAACAGCGACAGCAAAAAGCTGCCTTGTGAGTGTGAGCTAGGGGTGCTGAGCAAGGAGGGGAGCACTGGGCTGTGTGGTTCTTGTAAAGATACCTGTCAATTGTGGAAAAAATCCTCTTTTGTTCCCAGAACTTATTGCTATTAGTGTGACTGAATGTCATGTTACTTGCTGATTTTTCAACTGCTTGTCAGTTGACTGCTGGCTTTATATAAATGGGGAAGAGCCCTACTGAAAAGGAATTGGACAGTAGAAATCCTTATATAAATCCTTATATAAAATTTATTGCCTTGTTGAACGCAAAACTCCGGAAGATAATATGCACACAAATAAACACTACGCACGCTGGCATATGCTGCAGTGCCCCCAGGACCGCAGCCCGCGGCATTGGGCTGCCCCCCGGGCTGCCCCCACAGCCCCTCGGCATCGGGGCACCCCTGGGCTAACCGCTAACTCCTGGGAGCATCTTGCCCAGTGCATTGAGATGATGCTTATGTAAGATCAGAATGTGAGTAACTTGTTGTGCTCTTTGTAAGATGCTAATAATAGTTTTTTATATATGTGTGTGTGGTGCTTATTTAGCTATAATCAATATATTATTGATTACAATCTCAGTTTAGAGAAGAACAAAAGGAGAAGAGCAGGTGATTTTACTAAATTCTGTATTTTACCCATATTTGCAATGGAGGAAGTCAAGCTGTGTTCAGTGTTTGTTACGTAGACTTGTACCAGTTGCTTATACGAGTGCCTGGAAGCTTTTACAGGTGGTTGCTGCAAGCCTTCTTGCTTTCACTGTACATGCAAAATAACTTGCTGCAGAGAGACACCAGGCTATCCCTAACATCAGGAATGCAGCTGGGAGGAACATTCCAGCACTGTTCTTTGCTCCCTTTTCCAGCAAAGGAGATGCCTGCAGTACCTCAATACTGGCCTGCTATATGTGCATGTACTAGTCCTAATGCTATATGGGATCATTGGTGTTAATCGATCAAAGGCTGGATCCACAGTTCAATGACAGCTTCCTTGGTAGAGACTCTTGTAATAATGTATCCTTAAAGACCTAGAATGAGGGTGCCCATAAGTAAAAGTAATCAAGATTTATCATTCATAGCAAGGCCCCAAAAGCTGATAGTGTAGCCTCACTGGTGAAAATCCTGGAATATGTGTAAGCTCTAAGAACTTCTCTTTTTGATAATGTGAATTTTGTTTCAGATATTACAAGAGCAATGTCAAAGAAGTCAGTAACATAAAAGAGCAAGTAACAACACATCAACAGCAAGTAATGGAAAATCCGAGCCCTCGGACCACTATTCGAGTCCTATTTCAGCAATCCAGCTACCACCCGTTAGCCCAACATTCCGCTGCCCTTTCCCGGTTTCAGTCACCGGCGCAAGGTTTGTATCACAGCCGCTGCCCGCTTGCTGGGAGCACCAACCTGCCCTGTGCTCTCACGCTGCCCTTCAGGCCGGTCTCCAGCCACGTGCCGAGCCTGCCCGTGCAGGTGGCCATGGGGACAGAGCCCGGACACGGCCTCTCCGCAGCTTACGGAGCAGCTGCTTCACAGGTCCTCACACGTGTGCAGCTGGGTGTCGTGATGGTCAAGCACTCATGGAGGGAGGAAAAGTTACTATCAACAGATGCTAACAACTCAGTGTGTGAGCCAAAATATTTATCTGGGTGAACACCATGAAGGAACAGAATCCTTACAGCTTGCTCATTCACAGGATGTTGATCTGGATCCATTGATCACTGAAATTAGGAATATCAGAAAGCTGGTCACTGTGTAGGAAGTGAGGTGCTATCCCAAGAGTAAAATGATGGTGTATAAGTATAAAGTGAGCTGGGCTGATGGATAGAGGTGGAAAATACACAGGGACACGTCAGAACATAACCTGGAAAAATCAATTTCTATATTATGTGCTCCGTATTTCACAAGGAGTGTCACCTTCATAGGATGAAAAGACTGACTAGAAGAGCATGTGTTTGTACAGTCCACCTCCTGGTGACTGCACGTTCTACACAGGAATTGCCCCTTGACTTCTCTACCCGGGGCTTGTGGCTTTGCATCAACTATGGACTTGAGGCAGATAAAGTTGGATAGAAAGCACTGAAAGGGATGGACAAGACTTTAGAAGAAGTTACAGCTGACCTATTATTGTTTTGATTGAACATGCTCTTCAGAATGCTTTAATGTTTCTGGGAATTCTACTCGTTTATCTTTCAAATATTTTTTTTCATGCGAATATCACTTTCTGGGTAAAGGAATAACTCTTCAGAAGAGAGTATGTGGAAGAGCTCAGGCAACCTAAAGTCATTTTTCTAAACATTTTGCCTCTTGGAGGGAGTTGCAGAGGTGCATGCAAAGCTCCGTTCATTTTAAAACTGAATGGATGGAAAATGTCCTGCCCAGGCTTCTGCTGTTTGGTGCTGTCAGCAGCAGCCTGCATGTACATCAGAACTTTCACAGGCTGTTAACTTGTACTTCCCTAGCAGACTTTATATCAAGCAATACAGGCTGCTGGAAAAGCATATTCCAAAACCACTAAATGACAGGAAAAGACTATTTACCTACATTCATTGAGTTTTACTGTACTCTAAAGAAAAAGTACTGACTTACCAATGACTAAAGAGTAATCTGTGTCAATGCAACTTTCCAGTGAGATGTTTGATGTAATAAGACATTTTTCATCTTTTGCATAGTTTGCTCCACTTAGCAAATATATCTTTGTGCATATGCCTAAACTTAATACATTTCTTGTAATTCTAAGTTCCATATTTTACCCTAAGTTCCTATTTTTACCTTTATGATCACATTCCAGTCATTCAGTCACTATGAGATTAAATAACTTTAGAACAGGGGCTTTACTGTGGTTTTGATGACTTTTTTTATTTGCCCCTTATAACACAGTCAACTGGCAAAAAAATGAAATCATTATTCATGGTCTGCCAAAGGACTTTCCACTGGGGTTTACAGCATTGTTTTAAGTCTTCAGATAGCTCTCTGTGAAATTAAGTGAAAGTCTGTACAACAGCAGAGTGTTTCAGTGTGTGCTCTAGAGGACCCTGATAAAGGGCTGACTTTGCAGCCCTGGGATGCTGTGATGGTGATGCATTTTGACAGTTTTGCTCAGTGTTATTTTCAACAAAATCAAGACTACAGATGGGTAAAGTAGAATCCAAAGAGCATGTTCTTCTTGAGAGAGGAAGAAGAAGAAAAAAAAGAATAATAGTGCTTATGTTGTTCACCACTATGAGGGAGGAGGTTTAATTTCAACAAAACTTTGTTAAATTTGAAGATGTATTTGTTGTATGTACCAAAAGAATGTTCTAAAATTGAAGTGGTTTCAAATTAGAATCATGTATCTCCAATTTAGTGTTCAGCACCATGTTTTCTAACAGCATACTTGAGAAAAAAGTAGAACATTGAGCCACACTGGGTCATAAACCACGTACAGCCTGGTCTGGCAAACTGGTGACTGATACAGCTTGTATGAGTATGAAATCTTGTCTTTATGGAGAAGAAGTGGGGAAAAAGCTGTTAAGTTTAAAACTAAAATACCCTGAACAATTAGGATTATTAGCCAGGTACATCAGAAAATGAACTTTTGTGTACACAAGACACATGCTCTAGGCTAGCAATGGTTAGCAAATGATGTTTGTGATTACCTAGATCAAGTATCCATAAGGCAAGAGGCATCTGGAAAAAGCACTTTACAATGGATCTCTGAAAAGGGAAAGCTTTGGGGACCAGACATTGGCTAGAAATAAGTTAGAACTGTAAACCCAGAAAGTGTCTACTTACTTCTCGTGTTCAAGAAAAGATGTTTTCAGAGGTGTTAAATAAGCAAGATTGCATTAAAGAAATTAACTCCACTTTCTCCCCAAGAATCTTCCTCAATGTCCCTCAAGTCTCCCCAAAGGGTCAAGAAAATACACCGAAAAGAACAAGGCAACCATGATAGCAGTATGCTGAGAAAAATCAATGCGTTAGATCTAGTAAAAGCACATGTTTTCATGACTGGTTAACCATCTTTATTTGTTTTAAAGCTCCTGTTTTTTTATCATGCAACCAACAATGAGGTAAAAGACTCTCCTCAGGTCTTACATTTTCGTATGTGCCTTGGGCAGAATATTGGTTAGTCTCTAGTCTGGAGCTGCAAAGGCCTACTAAGCAGTTGGTAGATGACATTTGAGTGTGCCAAGTATGAATTATATCCTGGAATATTTGGACTAGAGAAACATCACTAAAGTATTTCATCGCTGTGTGTCTTGTGATTTTTTTTAATGAGGCCTTTTTATCAGAAGTTTAGGAATTGCGTAAGTACCTATATTGGGAATAATATTGCTTTGAAAGAAATTCTTCATGTTTGTAAGACAGAGATCAGAACTGTATTTTATTAATTTGTATTGTTGCTTATTTCTCAGTGCACTGGAAGACTGGCTTTACTGCCTTAAGCAATCTTTTTGCTGATTCTTTTGTAGGTTACACCACCAGCAGTAGAAATCTGTAATAAAGAACAAACCAAAATATTGTTGAAGGGAGTTGGAGCTTCATATCATAAATGAAAGAACATGGTAGCTAGCTCACAGAACCCATCCTACAGTGAAGCAAGACTTATCCTCTGGTAAGTGCCCTGATTTGCATTGAAATACTGTGAAAGAAACTTAATTTCTGAAGAGGGATTTAGGGATATCTTAAATGTTTGCTGTGTTGGACTTGGCTATCACCACCTCCAAGATACTACTGAGTATGCTCCTATTTAAGACAAGTGAGATACTGTTCTTGAAGATCAACCAAATGATTGACAGTGTCACTTTCAGTGATGGTAAGAATCCTTTCTTATTTCACACAGTAGTTTATTTGTGTGTAGTCTCTGCTGAAGACACACCCAGACATATGAATTATGTGTGTGTGACGAAAAAATGCAGGAAGATATTTGAGAATCAGAAATCAGCAGGCTTCAGAATACCATCCTTTATACAAGTTTTAGTTAAGCATTGTTGTAGTTTTGATAATATTCCAATGCTGTTTTAGTTTATTGTTGATAAAGTAGATTGCTATCTGAAATCCAACCTCTTTTGAATTTATTCTTTCCTTTGGTAAGACTGAGGAAATCAGTAGGGGTCTACAGGAACTATAGGCATTCTGCTAGGAGTTAGCAAAATAGTTTTTCAGCAATTAAACAAAATTCATGAAGTTTTTATAAAAAGTAGTCGTTAAGTAGCAAGTTAGAAGACTATCTTTTCTTCTGTTCCTAGGGCATGTGTGTAATGAATGCAGTCAGAGATACAGACATTTGACAATATTTCAGACTAGACACTTTAACCTCTTTTAGTTGTAGAAGTGTGTGTGTCTGTGCCTAAGTGCTGAAGATACTTGATATATTACAAAGCTGTTAAAAATACATAATAAAAAGTTTGTTCATTGTATTTTGAATTAAAGCAGCCAAAATTTTACAGGACTATCCAGACTGAAGTTAGTTAATAGTCTTGCCACTTTTTTTTTTTTTTCTTACTGTATACTTTCAAAGTTTAGGGCTGTTGATCTTAAGTTCTTGAAGGAATTTGGATATTTGAAAACTCACCTCTACCAGCTTTCCTCCAGAAATCTCTGCAGTATGATGATAGTTGGGAAAATCAGCTACTACTTTGCCACCTTCCATTTTAACAGTTGCCTGCAATAGAGGAAGGTTTAATGTTCTTTGGCTTACTGGCATTCATATTCTCAGATGCACTGTACACATATTCTTATTTTAAAAGTCATAAGACTTGGGTAGTACAGATAGTGTTTTGTGAAGACAACTAAAAATCCTTGGGCTTTACTTCTTAAATAAAGGCTTTCACAATTTAAATTAAAAACAACAACAACAAAAGACAAAATAAAACAAACAACCCGCCCTCCCCCAAACTCACAAGTTCCATAGTTACAGTAAATCACAGACAATGTTTGGTTATAAACCCCAAATGATCTGGCTATAGACTATGCTTCTCATGTTCAGGTCTCAAGGTTTCAGGTACTTCTTTTACTTTGACGGTGAAGTAAAAGTGTAATTTTCTGAGTTAATTTCTAAGTAGCATTCTCAGTTATTGATAACATCCCTGCAAAAGCACAAAAGTCACAGTGGATCAGTAACATGAATAGTTATAGCCTTGATACTCGCTTCCATTCCTAGGGATATGAAAAAAATCAGGGTTCACACACCTCTGTCATATACAGATAAGCATGACTGCAGAGTCTGCAGTCCTATCTTTGTATTATGGCATGTGCCAAGTGCTGTAAGACCTATTTTTGCATGGAAGGAGTGTGCCAGGATGTTAATGTACAAAATTCACAAATACCACAGCAGTTCATTTGACAGCCAAATCAAGGTACATGCTTCCATCACAAAATCAGTTTTGCCTGTGCCTTACATCATAAAGAAGGAAGCCAGTCATATTGTGAAAAAAACCTCAAAATGACGAGTGAACATTTTTACCAGATACAAGGAGACAACCTTACTACTGTGCTGTGCAGTGACACTATGCTAAAGGGCAGTGTTTCCTCTACTGAGTGTCATTTACTTTGCCTCCATCTTTGGCTATGCTGTAAACTGCTAAAGTTTAAAAGAGGAGGATGAAAGTCATATTTTAAAAATATAAAGTTTGTAATGGGTTGATACAATTCTATGTAGCTGACTATCTCATTCCATATGTTAAGTTTCACAAAGATTTCTCAAGACCAAACATGTTTCTTTTGTTTATTTTTAGTCAGAAAGGTATGACAAAAAAAAAGCTCTCTAGAAATCATGAAATGCAATTGCTTCTCAGTTTTACAGTTCCTATTGCAATTCCTAGTTTTTCTTTCTCTTTGGTGTATAAAAGGCATCTATTCAGCCTTCTGTAATAGGTTGCAAATGCTGAGTTTAGCTTTCCCAACTGTCTGATCCTCTTAAGCAGATTTAATGTAGTAAAGCAACCTTTATGCAGCTGCTCCTGTAAGCAGGTTTTGGTCATGACAGGAGGAAAAAAAAAATCATCTGGTTCATTTCCCTAGCTATGAAAACATTAGGTAAGTTCCCTTGTCACTACAGGCTCTTTAAGTTGCAAATTGCTCCATATTTTCAATAGGAAAGATATAGAAGCATCTTTTTCTTCATTTTACACAGTACTTTTCTTAAGGCTCAGATCACCTAAACACGAGCACTGCCGTTGGGCACAGACCTGCTCTACTTGCTACGTGGTGCTGAAGAGGGGACAGCTGCCAACCCATTCTTTGGAATTTTAATAAGCAATAGGTTTCCTTGAGCCATGACACCAGCAGATACTTGTGACTACTCTCACTCTTTATTACTACATAATGTTCTGAAGAGCGAGCTCTCTCATATCAGATTTGTGTATTTTGCTAGAAATATTCAGGAAAAGAAAAAATAAATAATATATGTTTGTAAGCTATGATGAACAGAAAAAACTATGGTAAACACATAATAAAACGAGGAAGGAATCCCTGTGTGCCTTTGTTTATTTACTTATTTATTTAACCCTAAATTAAGAAATAAGAACTGAGACAGTATAGAACTAAATTAATTTACCTTGAACTTTTTACCACCTACTGTCTCCAAATCTGCTTCCTTGCCAATTGTGAATTGGTTGGTCGTGGAGTGGCCTCCTGGATAATGCTGCGACCAGGTGAAGTCATTTCCATTCTGTACCACCTCAGAGACTATTTTGAAATTCCTTCCCTTTTCTATGATGTCATTTGGGATACCTTAATAAATAAAAACATGCAGTTTATCAAATCTAATATCCTATTAATGTTATTTTTTTTGTTTCTCAGAAATTGATGTTTAAAGATTTTTTGTTTTGTTTTGTTTTTTTTTTGTTTTCCTGGAATTATCAAAGATCAGAAGTTAAATTACTAGAATATGTAACGATATAGGGACATTAGGTTTTGGTCTTGTTTCTTATTAGAAACTATATACAGAATTATATATATATTATAATATACATACAAGATATATTTTTACTTCTGCTGCCTCAGTCTACATATACAGACTCATGATATGTCCTGTGCATGAACTTATGTCTGCACCATAGAGCTACAAGTACTTAATTACTATTCGTAGTTAAGGTTTAAGTAAAAGAATGCAAGCTCCACATTTATGGCTACAGATTCTAGTTTTCCTGAGAGATTTTATAGGGCAACTCTCTGCAACAGGTTTATGGCATCAGCCTTGCAAAAGCATTCACAAAAATTGCTTCCTATGCAAGACGGTAACAACTATTTTCATATTCAAATGTATACTTTCACTAATGATACTGAAGACAGAAAAAGTGATCTTCATGATTACTATGCTGCAAATATCTTAACTTTTCATTCTGCTGCTACTATTTTTGCAAGACCATAGTCTGCAAGACTATTTTCCAAGACCATTTCCACTTTAGGAAGCCTCCCTTTCCTCCTTCTTCCTTTATAAATGTTTTAAACTAACTTACACCCATTAAGACTTACTCTTCAAAACATACGTACCAATCTTCTTCATGAAGTCATCGTAGTTCTCATCGCTTTCTACTTCATATTTGCCTGTGAATGCCATGCTGTCCTGGTGATGTGGCTGGTAAAGCAGAAGAGCTGCTGGGACAAAGAAGAATAGTGAAGTGCAGATGCCCCAGGGCTCTCGTTTTATAAAGCAGTCTGAGCTGTTCAGCCCACCTATACTCCACACCTCTTGGAAATATACTTTTATGATCTAAATGTATGAGTCACTAACATGGATGCCATTGACCCATATGAAAGTTAAAGTTATAATTCAATTATAAATCCTTGCCAGTCATCTGTAGATGAGCAGAAATCAAGGGCAAGTGTTGGTTTTTGGTTTTAGTGCATATTTAAACAAAGTGTTAAGATTCTCAAACTGCAGAGGGCCATGCTGAGGCTAAGCAAAGCCTAAACTACGGCAGTGGCAGATTGGAAAATAACATTTACAGGACGATATCAGGCCCATTCTATACATAAGAAAGTTGAAACACTATCGAAAAGTGATTTATCAATGCTTATAATATAGTAAATGGGTGGTGTAACCAGAAATAAACCCTAGGTCCAGACGTTAATCCACTGTCCAAAGGATGGCACATTAATTTAAGCTTCCTTATAATAAACAAAACCTTAGTAACCACAGAAGCAAACAATGAGAGCTCTGCATGACTGACTGCACTGAGACACCAAGGGGTTTTACTCTAGATACACTGATGGTCTGGGAGAATCTTGACTACTGCTCAACACAACTGACTAGCAAATTCTCCAGATAAGACCCTTGCCTTCTCCTGTACCTTTCATACACAGAAGGGTAACCCGTGTTCAGCCCAGCTGCCCTTCTAGGGGTGGGTCACAGATGAGGCTGTCCTCAGGCTTCCTGAGCAGTGAAGGCCTCTGTCTTGCACCAGCTTCTCAGTCAGAATCCTTGCATGAACAACCCTGTAAAAAAAGGTAGATGAACTTAAGCCATAAACTCCTCTGTTTACAAAAAAACTTATTGGGGGACAATGTCACCGCTGTAGTAATATCACAGAGACTTTGGAAGATAGATCTAACTGTAGATAAGAAAACATCATAGTTCTCAAACAGGAAAGAGATAACCAGATTATAGGAACTGTACTTGACTTTTTATATTATCTCTCTTTGTAATCAAATTATACTGCTAGCTTTCTTGAAACATGATATAGAAATGCTGACATCTACACAACTGCACAATACTTGGAGCTTGTCCACGCTGGGAATGCAGTGAGCATGAACCCAGGGTATAATACAGTAAATTACACAAGAACAGCTACTTCACTGTGGGTACACAGGTGGGTTTGTCTTGACACACACTAAACAGGAGTTTATTCACCTTCAAGGAGTTGAAAGTTCCTCCGTACATGGTAGTTCTAAGGAAGTTTAGGAATAAAGGTGCGAGTACATGGGGGTGCTAACTGTGCTTATTCTGGGGAACAGAGTCAGTTCAGAACATCTTCTGAGCAAACACCATCATGGGTACCAATCCATGCAGATGGATTTTTAATGTGCACTTTGAATTTATATCCATGTTTCTGCTCACTAATTCTGAAATAAATCCTTATTTTTATTCCTGTATGGAAATGCAATAGTGTATTGGGGAACAAAGAATTCAAGTGATCTTCCAAATAGTGAGTCAGGACAATGTTTATTCCAAGAATAAATGGATGAAAGCCCCTTGACTCTGGTGAGGTTATGGTCACTTGTGTGATTGCTAAGGTTAGCCATCCAATTTCCTACAATTTCAGTTTCATCTAAACAACTGTATTCACTTAATGACCTCACACTTTTGTTTACAGAATTTGTGATTTTCTTGCCTCTTCAGGGCTGTGAGTGTGCAATGTTTGCTTGCTTCGTTTTTGCATTACCTTCCAAGCAATGCTTCATCTTCAGTGGGCTGGACACAGAACTCAACAGTTCAGCAAATTCCAGAATTATCCACTAAAAAAAATAAAATAAAATAAAATTAGCCATTTCTTTTTCAAAATACACAGAATTACATGTATTTAATCCATTTCATCTACTGTAATGTAAGGACACTGCACAATGTTGCAAATAAGCTTGGTTATGCCCTACTATTTAACAAAACTCAATTCAAATCCAACTGAATTAAGCAGCTATAATTGAGACCGGAGGAAAAATAAAAGTTGTTTATCTGATGCAAAGTAAGACTCATGTAAAAGCTGGGAACAGCTTGCAAAATGTGACCATTACCTTCAGTTTACCTGGCACTATCTCTTTTCTAAGGGAGGAAGATGCAGCTGTTCTACGTGTTGCATAGGTGACAGTGCCAGCCAACTCTCCGGGCCCCCTGGAGCCGGCACGGGCACAGCCTGTGCCACCTTCACCTGCTCGTGGTGCCCCTCACTTCACTTTAGGCACCCGGCTTTGCCATTAGCCGAGTGCCACAGCAGAAACTCCAGGCTGAGTCTCCAGTCTCCTCACTAGCTGACTGCAAATTTCCCACCTGAGCGAGATGCAATCAGCTTGGTAAGAGTCAGGTTAAATGTATTAGAATTTAGGCAATTATCTTTCTGTGTTTCATTTTGAGGCATATTTCAACAGGATGTTGATGCCCTAAACAACAGATTATAACATCACTGAAATATTGGATTGTGTTATCAATACAAATGGATTATCAAAACAAATGTATTTTTATTGTTATGCTGGAGATTAACAGCATGTAGAAGCACTAGGCTGCTTCACAGAGATTTAATTAAAATTATGAGTTAAAGGGAATTAGCTACAGGCAACTTAATGAATCTTACTTTATGAATAAATGTTATTTGTAGCAAAATGCTATTTGTGAAACCCACTACCATTACATGGATTCAGTGCTCACAAAGAAGTACAAATGAGCATTTGCACACTTGGACTGAAAATTACTGCCTGCAGACAGAGAGCAAGGCAGAGGCACAGCCTTATTCTGTGAGGCTTCAGGGGTACTGGCTTTTAACACTGAAATCATCCCTTAATTTGTCCCATGGAGTGGGTGTGTGGGGGAAACAATTGTGCCTACCTATCTTTGCAATCTTTCTGAGCCACTGATTTAACATTTGGCTGTATATTGTCAGAACTGGAGGCAGGAATCAAACTACTAATTAAAATGACAAGTTACACAGAAAGGTTCTTCACAGTGTTTGAATTCATCCTGCAAAAAGAGTCTGTGAGTGGAAACTGTGTGGCCACTGCAGACATTTAGCATGACTAAATTGTCAGAGAAGTAAAATTCTTGTGGAAGCTTGCACCTAAAGTTTATCTAAAGCTTTACTCCCCGTGGCACTCAAGTCAGCTACCTCTGATATGTAAAAGAGCTGAGTCTTCAAATGCCAGGGGGAACAGGGGGAACTTTCAAGCACCATATCAAAGGCCTAGGATATCTTTACTTTCAGAATTTACTTGCCACAAAGTCATAAATTTAATGCCTTTGCATTCTTTTTGTCATGTCAGAGTCACCCTGTCCTTGAATGTCTCCCAACATGCTTTACAGTTTATTAACCTTTCAGATGTGTTATAGAAAGGCCACTGTGAGACACTCAAAGACAAAATGGAGATAAGGAAAGTAATTCCCTTAGTGAATGAATGAGGATGAGTAACTATCTTTGAAGTGCTCTTAAAACTGGAAAACAACTGAACAGATGAGGGCAGATTTAGAATAAAGCAGGGACTCTCTAGTGAAAAGAAACTTCCCCTTAAATGATTCTTTCAGAATGAAATTTGATCAGGAAAGCTTGTAAATTCTTAATACAGCTGTATCTGGCAATTACTCCATAATTCTCCATAGTAAATGGCTAATGATTATTAATTCCTTTGGTATTCAGAGTAATCATTCATAACGAATTCAGAATGAACTCATCTGGTGTTAATGTAATATGTACTTCCATGGGAGTCCTATTATAATTTTGCCTTATTAAGTATCCATTTAGTACTAGGTGTTATTGCTCTAAACTCGTAAGCACTAGAAAAGATGTGGCTGAGTTACTGAAAAGCTACTGCTTGCCTGGAGCCCAAGCGTACACGACGGCTGCCACAGCCCTGCTGCAGGGGACACCGCACAGCCTGTCCTTGCCTTGGCTGTGGCACTCCAAATCTGCTGAAGAAAGTAGCAGGGAGATGTTCCCTAACACTGAAGCTGTTAGTCAAAAAAAAAAAAAAAAGAAAGAAAGAAAAGAAAAGAAAAAGAGAACAATCAGCTGGTGCCACCAAAAATGGTCTTCGTAATCATGGGTTGAACTAATACGGTTCAGGGGTAATAAAGCAGAGTTATGCTCATGCTAACTAAGCTAGTAATGAGTGCCTAGTTCAAGTTCACTGAATGCATTTTCTACAAGCTTAAGATTCAGTACAAATTTTCTGAATTCCAATTAGTATTTTTTTGATTTGTTCTTCAGAATCCAACATCCAAATAAATCAAACGAGGTACCCTTGGACTCAGAAAAGAACTAAACAAAAACCAGGACAGAATTCTTCTCTTGAATTAGTTCCCTCACACCTTATACTAAGCTTACCAACTGCATTCAATTCAATGGTAATAGAGACTTATAGCAGAAGTGGGTATCTTTATTTTTAAATTTTAGTAATGACTAAAGGAGACAACTTGATTCAAAAGTGGCATTACAAAGGTCTTCATGTAATCTGTCAATACACACTCACAACCATCTGGCTAATTTTAACTTGGCTCACACAAAACTGACAGATCCTTTTGAAATATCCTCTTTGGACTAAGAATCACTATGGAATGTCTTCAACCTTAAGTGGTTTTAGTCTAATACACGGAGAAGCAGTTTTTAAAAAGAGTTGCTAAAATGGAAGATATAATTTGAGCTTATCCGCAGAATCTTCTACTGGCAAAAGCTCTGACTCTCTCTATATGTATTTGTTCTAAAATACTAAATCACTAAAATACTTTATGACCCTAACAGAAAACAACTATGATTTGAAGTTAATATCTGATATTCCTAAAGACAGGAATCATTACAACTGTTCTGTCTGCCCATTCCAACTAAACCAATAGTCATCTCTCCCTTTATCTGTGAGGTTCATGTGATATTATAAAGATTTTATTACTTGATAGTATCTCTGGGATTGTACTTGTTGAAACATCAGGGCAACATAGCTTCAAATGGAAGCTTATCTTCAAGGTAATCTAGTCTAATTTTGAGACTATTGTGACATGGCTGCAGCCTTCT